CTTGAGGTCTTGGCCAACCTTCAGGATTCGATGATTTCTACTCACACCTCTGTTCCTACCTCGGGGCAGATGTTGTCACCATCCTTACTTTCCTTCGTGACCTCTGCCTCTCTGGAAGTGTGTGCTGACCTCTCAGTGGAGATGTTGGACAAACAGGCAGTGTTGCCGGTGAGCAAAGCTCTCGGGTGGAGCAAACGTTGTGGTGCAGTGGAGGAGAGGTGAAGCACTTACACACACGTATGGGGTTTTTTTATAGATGTAGGTGTGTGTGTTTGTATAATCCCTGGGGAAGAGTTAACAGCTTTATCACAGCAGAAGGTCTCTGGGTGAATCTTTGTTTTCCTGAGCAAGTTTTTAGAAGAAACCTGTAACGATGATAAACGTCCCGCTGTCTGTCCGTAACGGCGTCAGCTGCTGAGCCTTCCCCCTCCCGCCTGTCTCTGGCTCAGCCCCTTCGTGCCCTGCCCTGGATCCACCCGGAACAGCATTGACACGAGGACGTACGCGTTTTTTCCTCAAGTGCCAGGTAGAGACGAGGCGTGTACAGGTGACCTGCGGCTCACTGCTCTCCCTCTTGTATGAGGTGGAGCTCTAAAACTCCAGTCCTGATTTTTTTTTAATTTGTTCTTTTTAGAGAAGCAGGGCAGGAGAGCAGTCTGTCCGTTTTCAGGCCGTGAAAAACAACATCAGTGCTGCTGTCATCGGCAAGAGGAGCTGTGCAGTGAGCGATGTCCCTTCTGTGCCTTGGTTACACTGACCCTGGGGAGCAGATGGCTCAGGACTCAACATGTAAAGAGTTTTCTGAAATTCCTAGTTTTATATTCTGCTTTTCCACTGGGATACCCTCAACCCTTCCCCAGCAGAGTGGCCCTTTACCCTCCCTCACCCTGTGGCACCTGTTTTCCCAACAGAACCAGAGGAAGGAGGGGAGCACCATGGGTCAGTTGGGTTTCCCTGACCTTCTTGTTGATAACCCAACGGGAGATGATCTAAGCAGAATCTGTGGATGTGTTGGGATTTTTTTTTTGAAGAAGAAGAAGTAAGACCATTTGAAGCAAAGTCACGAGTCTGGCAGAGTTCCCAGTCTTTTTGTAAGACTGCTTCACATGAGCTTGTTGTGTTCTAGTGTGGATTAGGCCAGAACAGTAGTTATATAAGGTATTTTTTTTTAGATAATTGGGCTGAAATGATAAAATCTGATACTTCCTCCTGCTCTTGTTGTTGGTGTTTGGGCTCTGGAGCATTGTGTCTCTGTTGGCAGGAATTTCCAACCCAGAGCGTTTGAACAAAACGATTCCACTTGGTTAGAAAGAAGAAATGATGGAGCTGAATCTTGTTTGAATGGAAAATCCGCAGGGATTGTGATGCGGGTCCGTGTGTGGTCGGTTGTCTGTCGGCTCGCTGCGATTTCGGGCACAGGGCAGGACAGAACGTGGTCTCGCTCCCGTCCCGTGTAGGTTTGGAGCACGGCCAGTTGGCTGATGTAAATCGGCCGTGGATGGATTCAGTTATCATGTTCAGCATTTTTTCTTGATTGCTTGAATGCGGGGTGGAAGCAAAAATACTAAATCTTGTGGCTAAAAAAGACTGAAATCGTTCAGCATTTTTTCTTGATTGCTTGCATGCGGGGTGGAAGCAAAAATCCTAAATCTTGTGGCTAAAAAAGACTGAAATGGAGCAAGAATTGAGTGAGGAAGCAATTACCATACTAAGGAAATTTCTTCCCTGTGATGTTGGTTCCTTACGCAAGGAGAGACGGCCGCTGCGCTGTGCAAACAGCTGTGTTGAGACTTCTGCTTACTTCCCATTCTTCCTTTTCTCTTTTTTTAATTTTTTTTTTTTTTTTAAAATAATAAACAGTTCTATCATGATAATCCCATTTTCTGGGCACCTTTTGGCTGCCAGATCGCTTAGATCGTAACCGAACAACTGTCACATTAGTGTAAATACGCAGGACGTGGCTCGGGGAAGGTGTCGGTACGAGCTCAGCGGCCGCAGCTGGAGGTGAGCTCGGCTCAGGGGCAAAAGGCTTCAAAGATGGAACATCCTGGCAGCACTTGGGAGCTTTCTACCAGCCTGGGAGTACCTGGGAATGGCCTGATGGTTCACATTCGGGTTTATTTGTACGTGACAGTAACCTGCTGCTGTCCTTTGTGTCCTCCCCCACTTTTTCCACCCTCCCAACGCAGAGCTCCTTGGCAGAGACGCTGGACAGCAGCGGCAGCTTGGACGCCCAGAGAACCGACATGATTTACACGATTGAAGACGTTCCTCCTTGGTATCTCTGCATATTTTTGGGGTTACAGGTATGTTTCAAAACAGGTAGAATGTTTTTCTCTGGAACTTTTTGGGCTCGTTGGGCAGTTTCTGGGGAAGTCATTACAGTTGTGCGTGGGAGAATTTCACGCTTCAGCGTGTTTGGAGAAGGTGTCAAGGCAGTTTCTTGTGAAGTCGATCACAAAGATGACTGTGTTGATAAGGATCTACATTATTGTTTGCTGGCATATGCATCTGAGAGATTAATTTAGAGCCTTCTAAGCAGCTCTTAGTAAATAAGTGAGCAAACAGCTTCAGAAAGCGACATTTGGCACCTCTGGAGTTGAAGATGGAGAGAGATAATGGCTTAGTCCTGAAATCTTGATGATTAAAGCTCTGCTGCTGTAGCCATTCCAATTCCACAAGCTCGGTAGCATCATCCTGGACCTGTAGGCTCACCAGTGAGCGGGGCAGGCACATTCTGCTCTCCTTGGAGCGAGAGCGTGCGCCTCCCGCGATGAGAATTCCTGTAGCCGAGAGCTGCACCCTCCTGCCAGCCCAGCCACTGGCTTGGGTGAAGCAGAACGGCTCGTTTCATCTCCTTTCTTTCCTGAATCCGTCCCCCAGGAATGCTGAGAATTTGTCAATATCTGTAAAGTATGCTGAGATCTCCAAACACACACATTCCAAAGCATCCTTTTCTATTTCTGCCTTTCCCCAAGGACGTTCTGGAGGGATTCTGGTTTCATTTGCCGTGATGAATATGGTGACTCCTGTCTGTTTCTTTGCTTTAATATATTTGGATTGAAAAAGAATTAATGAGTACCTCGTTCCTGGTACTCGGGAGCTTGTCTGCAGCCTACTTTGTGTGTGCTTCTAACTTCATCGGTAAGCAAATGGCTTTTCACCTGGTGGAAAGTGGCTGGGGGTCTTTCTCTGAGTGAGGAGCTGTTTCCAGCACAGTTTCCTGGACGCCTCCTCGTCAAGAACAGGACCCTGCAGCTGTTTAAACCAACCCAGTTTGTCCCACAGAAACAGCCACAGGCTGGGGGCAGCTCCACGTGGAAGGAAAATATTTGGAAGAAATGCTTAGGAGCAGGAAGCGAGAGCTTTGGAGAACTCAAACTCCAAAATACCCAATGCAAAAAAAAAAAAAAAATTATCATAAATTTATTTCCTTGCTAATATTGGTTGCAGTGTTAACGACCCATTTTTCTCTTCGCAGCATTACTTGACGTGTTTCAGCGGAACGATAGCAGTGCCCTTTCTCTTAGCTGATGCCATGTGTGTGGGATTTGACCAGTGGGCTACCAGCCAGTTGATCGGGACCATTTTCTTCTGCGTGGGCATCACTACGCTGTTACAGACAACCTTTGGGTGCAGGTGAGATTCTTGGTTCTCCTTGTTGAGATGAGATGTGAGATCTGCTGGGATTTCCAGCATGCAGACCGAGATCCAAGAGATCGCTGGGATGTTTTCAAAGGATAAACGTGAAACAGGGTCAGAAACAGGGCAGTTAGGGAAAGCTGTTGGAAGGCTGCTCCCAAAAAAAGGTGGATCTGAAATCAGAGAAGGTTCCAAGGGTAAGAAAATATAGAGCAGGGGCAGGGAGAGGAAAGAAGGAGTAGAGAAATCCATGAGGACGATGAAGGCAGAAGTGTTTCTAGGGGAAAGGAAAACTTCATATACCTTTGTGAAGATGAATTAATGTTGATCTTTTCATTAGTTTCTGGAACGCTGCTGTGTTCTTGCCAATATTGGGATTACTGTGATTAGTCCTACAGCAAATTGTCAGCTTGTTCCCGTGAAGTGCTTGTCAAACTAAAAAGGCAGGGAAAATGATGAGGGTAACTTTCTATTCTCTGAACTGAGTGTCTCTGTTACCTTCCAATACAAACAACTAATTTATTTTTATTTGTTAGTTGCTCTGAGTTGCAGGTAGTGGTGCTTCCCTGAGCTGGGGAGGAGCACATCGGTTACAGGGATGCTTCTGCCTCTCTTCTGGCCTCTTCTCCTACGGAGGATACGAGAGACCGGTTCGGGTGTTAGCAAATACTTGTAAAAATCTGCTGGTGGTAAGAACAGGATGTTGTAAGTTTTATGAACGTGAGGATAAATCTTTTAAAATAGGTGTTCTGTAGAACACGCTGCAGAGAGGTGTTTGGCGTGTTTACCGAAACTCCTGTTCGCTCTGCCCGGGAGAACCGGGAGCAGCTGAAACCTGCAGAGTTATTTCTGCAGCTTCAACAAACCAAGAGTGAGAAGTGAAGCCAGAAGAAAAGTGGATATTTTAAGAGTGTGCCCTGGTGTGGTCACTGGAGTGATTCACGGGTCATTCAGTTCAATCTAAGAACAATGTGGGCTGAGATCTTGCATTCCAAGAGAAAATGGCCAAACACCCCCCCACGTTTTTAAAGGTTTATCTAAGAAACAGAATCTTTGGGTGGAAAAGTTATCTCACCAGGGGGCAGAAGGCAAGCCTTGGTCTTGTAGATCATCTAAAATTTCCCAAACATTTCAGGGTTTCCAGTGTAATCTTTCATTGCTGTTTTAGTTACCTGCTTGGCTTTTTGTCCTTGGAAAAACAACTTCTCTTTATTTTTTTTATTATCTCTTACTAAACTTATAAAATCATTCTGCTGTTTTGCCTGAAAAGTTCATTCTGATGAATGACAAAACAGCGTAACGACAATTGTTGAAAGAGAAAATTTTCTTTCCCCAGTGTATTTTCTTTTAGTCAGGACTACCTGCAGTCACTAATCCCATTTTCTGCCCGGCTGGCTCCCTGTGCTCACCGAGCAGCTTGCCTTGGCTGCCCTCAGAAACGTTCTCAAGTTCCTTGTCTGAAAGGAGGCAGAGGAGCAGACCTGTGCCCTCTCTTTTCATGGGGGATTTTTTCCCCCCCTCTTTTATTTGTGCTTTATATACAGAGTCCAAGGATTGCTGACCTGGGCAGGAACTGGAACATAAGATCTCTTACTGAGTGTCTCCTCCCTGGATTTACTGAAATTTAAAATATTTGGACGTGCAGAGTTGGGGATGACGATGAGCTCAAAGGGGAGCTTGGTTTGCCTCTGCTTCTTCCAGCTTTCTTCTTCTGCCTCAAATTCACCACCAAAAGCTGGGGTTTGTGCTTCCTGACACTTGTATCTCTCCACAGAACTCGAGTTTGTCAGATTTTGGTTTTTACCCTGACTGATCTCAGGCTCTTTCTCTTCGTTAGTTGCTCCAGGGGGATTTTGGGCTCTTGCAGAAGCCGGCGTGGTCCCATCAGGTCGGAACACTCTGTTCCTTCTGCATAACCCCCCCTCTGCCTGCCGCGGTGGCTTTTTAATCCCTTTCAGTGGCTTCCCCTCGCACAGTTGAATTTACTGGATTGTGTTTGGGTCTTCAAACCAGTGAACTTGTATTTCAGGAGAAAATTTCCACGGTTGAACGTTTTATAACTATTTCACCCGTGATTCTGGTTTTATGTAAGGGTGGGGATGGGATAGGGCAGCGACGTTCTCGAGATTTGAAAGTATTTATTGGCAAGTCCGTCAACTGCGAAGTATTTCAGCAAATAAAGCCGCTACGGCTTCAAAAGGTCAAATTCCACGGTTTAAAGGGCCTTAAAGATGGATTTAGCTCCGTTATAAGGAGGAGCTGTGGTCAATTTGGTACCCATACTAATTTTAGGAATTCAAGCTATTTATTATTAGATTATGTAATAAGCCAAAAGCCTTGGCAAGGATTCCGAGTAATTAGTACGCCTGAGGCAATCAAATGCAGCTTTAATAGACCTAAAAATACTGTAGGATTGTTGCTGTGCCCATCGCTGCATTGTCTGAGCATCTGGGTGAAGCGTGAAGACCTTTCTAGATGACTTGGGTTGCATCAAAAGCTCTGTCTGCACAAGGGCTGGTGCTAAAATTGAGCAACTTCACAGTGGAGACACGAAATTAAAATGATGTCCCCATGGGAAGCTGGTGGTGCTCTGCCCACGAGCAATGAGCGTCTGGCTTAGCGATGGGAAGGATTTCCTAAGTCGTGTTCTGAAATGCAGCGGTCTCTTCAGAAAGATTTTGAGTAATAAGTTTGGGGGGGGAAGAATAAATTTTTTTTTTTTTTCTGCTTAGGAAATAACCAATATTTTGAGCCTGCTGGCCCTTTTGGTAAATATTCCAGGTTAACTGTCTCGTGTAAAGGTACTGACTTCATCGCTGGAAAATGCCTTTGCAGCGCAGATTTACCAAACCATGACGGGCCGGGGAGGGGGACGGAGGAGTACCGGCTTGTTACAGGGATTGCGCATTTCGCCCTGGGCACCAGCTCGCTGGGTTTGCTTAATGAACCGAGAAAAATAACGTGAATCATTCCCTCTTAGCCTCCAGCTGTTTCTTCACCGAAGATAAAGGTTTGATTTTTGCTGGAAGGAGCTGAGGAGGGAACGGCGTGCCAGGCAGGTGTGCTCAGGTGGCTCCTGTGTGTTCTGAGGTTCGATTTTCCGCAGCAGTTTCCAAGGTCTGCGGTGGGTGGGTCGGCTTTTTGCACTGCTCGTGGCCCACGCTCCTCTCCAATGCAGTTCAGCTGTTCTGACCTTCTGCCTCTGGACTTGTCAGCCACTCTTAGCGACTTGCCTCTGCTTTGATCTTTCCTGTTAGGTGTGTATAGGATATTTCCCCCCTGTATTTTTTTTTTTTTTTTTTTTCTTCTTTGTGCCTTTTCTGGTCTGTATCTGAATCAACTCCAGTTAGTTCCTTTTTGCTTTCCTGGTGCTCCCCCCAGCTGTACGCCAGCCAGAGGTGCCGTGCAGGGCAATTGAGTTTGAGATCTGCTGGCAAAGAGAATTTTATTGCGATCCATTAGTGCCGGTATTTAGAGAGTAGTTCAAAGTGCATCTCCTCTGTAGTTACGTAACACCTGAATGATTGCAATGTTGTGCAAGCTCCGGTTGATTCAATACATACGTAGCTGCTGCTGGTAGATGCTCATTAACTCCGAAACCTTTTGGGAAGTGTGAACACCGATGCTAAGAATGTCGTCTTGAAATTCCTGCGGTGTTTGTATTTATTGTTTGTAGCCACCTGGAACATCTAATCAACTCTTATCAACCCGTTAGCTGTTTACACGCGCGCAGAGGGATGAATGGGTGAGTGAGTGTGCTGCAGGTCACGCAGAGCCAGGGTGCTGAGCAGGCAGACCGCTCTCCCGAGCGGCAGGACGGAGCAAGCTGCACGTTCAGCCGGCTGGTGCTGCCACCGCAACGTGCATCCGCGTCCTTCTTGTGCTGCTGGGTCAAAACCTGGAAGCAGCGTCTGGTGCACGCGTGCGGGTACCTGTTAACACAACGCCTCCGATAGGTGATTACTGACTCCACGCGCGGAGCATCTCCTCTTGGGTCTCTGGTTTGCAAAGTCTTGGTGTTGCTGCGCCTGTTCTTTTTAGTAAGAAATTCTCATATTTCACGTTTTTCATAGCCCCCACCAAAGGATGGTGTTGAGGAGGGGTCACCCCCTACCTGCAGCTGATATCTGTAACACTGAGAGATGTCAGCGTCTCTTCTTTCCCTTCCCACCAGGTTACCCTTGTTCCAGGCGAGTGCTTTCGCGTTCCTGGCGCCCGCTAGAGCAATCCTGTCCCTGGAGAAGTGGAGGTGCAATAATACAGGTAACGGTCGGTTCTGCTGGCTCAGGGTTCAGTGACGTGACCCACATCCCCTGCGGTGCAACTGACAAACCTTGGATATGGAAGTAATGAGCAGGGAATAGGAAAAACTCTCTCCTTTTACCATGTTAAAACTTTGGGTCTTAGAAAAAGATTCCTGAAAATGCCCTTGTGGAATTCTCTTTCTGGATTTTTTTTTTTTTTTAATATAAAAAAGTTGGACAAAAGAAAGCAAGGCAGAACGATTCTATAAATGTTCCTCTCTGCTATTTGGACATGGTGACTCCAGTCGAGCCCTTTGGAGGAGTCGTAACTTTGAGCAGCGTTCAGTGTCACCTCGAGCAGCATTTTTACCTGCTTGACTCCCACCTGACGGGTTTTGCAGAGCACGCTTTGACATCTGGGTGTTCGTTCTTACTTTTTCTTCCCTAACTTCATCACCCTGAAAGGTTTTGAGTTTATTCAGGGTGAAAACGAGCAGTAACACCGGTTGGGTAGTGGGGGCTTTTTCTTTAACTGAAGTTAGGGAGCTGCAGTGGCCACAGCTCCGGCAGTTTTATTTCAGGGGGTGGATGGGGTTATTCAGGAACGGGGCTGCGGGCAGTGCAAGACTGCTTGCTTCTAACTAAAGTTCTTCCCAGGGGTCCTTTTGGTTCTCTGATCATTTATATTTGTATTACTTATGTGTTTATACATCTCTTTTGATTCACTTACAGCCATCTAGTTAGTTTCCTGGATGCTTTTCTGTATAAAGCTTAGCTGTGAGCATCCCCGTGTTCCCGCTGCGGCAGTCAGATGTGGCTGCTGGGAACCACCCCGGGGGTTCAGCGCCCGAGACGTCGCGGCACACCGTGGTGTGCTGCAGCGGTGCCGGCTGCGCTGGGTATTTCTGAGCACCAGTGGCCTGAAACACACTTTCTTGGGGAAAGAAAATGCTGTCTGGTGACCTTTGATGGCAAAGCACTTTTTCCACTACTCCGGCTTTTCAAAAAGAGCCTTTGCTCTGGCTTAGTCTGGAACCTTTCACCCTTCGGAAGGTGTCGGGTGGGGTTGTTCCCACGGGGCAGTTCCTCCTTCAGCAAGTGACCTGAATCGGTCAACGACAAGCGTTGGAGCACTTGGTTCCTGGCGTGCGGTTGAGTAATTCTCCATTCATCCATTTGCTGGAGTGGGAGGAGAATCCCTCATTGACCTTTCTTTCTGAACATTGTGATTTTTTTCCGCTTTGGTACAGTGGGTAAATCAGTGGCCAGCTCTTGGGGAATGTGAGCACGTTATTACTCGGGTTGTGGCACTGCAGAACTTGTATTCTGCGTAAATCAAGGCTCATTTGTCGGCCACAGCTTTAGGAGGGGTTTGTTTTGTATTAAGTGATGTCAAAGTGGCCAAGGAATAAATACCTGGTTGGTCTTTTTCTTTCTTCTTTTTTTGGAAGATATAACAGTTACAAACGGAACAACAGAGCTGCTTCACACTGAGCACATCTGGTATCCCAGGATACGAGAGGTAAGGTAGGAGCAGCCCTTAGCTGCTGATCTGTCTTGATTCCAGCTCAGTTTCTCACCTAACCATCTCTGTGTTCTCGTCTTTAAGTTGGTAATTTCTTCTTTCGCTGCAATTTCATTTGAATATATCCCTTTACTCATCTCATGGAAGCCTTCACCTTTTCAACTTGTTCATTGCTGGGCAGCACATACAAGGAGCTAGCTCCCACCTTCCAAAAATATGCAGCAAAACATACAAGCGAGAAGAACGCTTTTCTTGTGACACTTTGCGATTTGTGCTGGCTGGCAGTTCAGCTGCTGCCAGCCCATGTGCCTGCCCTCGCTGCTCAATAGCCGTCCCGTGGCAGGTAAACACGCTGTTAGCAAATCTCTTAAAAAAAAACTTGTGGGTCAGGATAAAAGCAGTTTAATTAAAGCCAAGGCCACACACAGAAACAAAAGGAAAACAGAGATGTTATTCTCTACTCCCCCTCGGTCAGTGATGTCCGGCCACCTCCCGGGAAAGCAGAGCTTCAGTATGTGTAGCGGCTGCTCCTGGAGACAAACGTAGCAACGAATGCCCCCCTCCTCCTCCCTGCCCTTGGCTTTTATGGCGGCGCTGACGTCGCATGGTATGTAATAGCCAATCGGGGTCAGCTGTCCTGGCTCCGCCCCCTCCCCAGATGTGTTGTAAACAGCTGGCAAGCTGTCAGTGTGACACCCAGTGAGGGCTGCCGTGGGGGGTACCAACCCCATCTCCCCCAGACCCCATACACCCAGGCACCACGCCGCAGCCGTAGAGTTGATCTCCCACCCCGTTGCTTTGGGCTGCAAACTTCTTAATTAAAACCACCCCCTCTCTCTTCCCCGTGTTCGCACCGTAGCTCCATCCTGCCAAGAGCCCTGCAGCAGAGGGCTGACAGTCTCCTGAGACCACAGCACTGCTCTGTGCCAGCTTCTAAGGAGCGCTGGGAACAGTGCAGCGCACACCCTGCCCCTAGGAGCTAGGAGCATCGCCTCCGTGGCCGCCAGCAGCCCTCGGCTCGGTCTGAGAGCGTTAAAGGTTAGCCTGGGAGCCAGCTCTCCTGCCTGACAGCGTGCCGTGCGACCCGCCAGCCTGGCCCGCTGCTCTGGCGTGTGAGAGTTTTGTGGAGAAAACCACAAGTGTCATGCTTAAGCAATAAGTCACTTAAAACATAACGAGCTGTTTTATGACAAAAAAATTGCTGAGTTCCTCTGTGTCGCTGCATTTCTTTTAACTGCGGTTTTTAATCCAGAGCAGAAAAAAAAAAATGTTTTGGGTTTGCTTTTCAGATTTCCCTGACCTGTCTCTTTCCCCTTGTTGTTGTGTGTTCAGATCCAAGGTGCAATCATCATGTCCTCCTTGATAGAAGTGGTGATCGGTTTGCTCGGCCTCCCCGGCGCCCTGCTGCGCTACATCGGACCTCTGACCATCACCCCGACGGTTGCTCTCATCGGCCTCTCCGGTTTCCAGGCTGCTGGGGAAAGAGCAGGGAAACACTGGGGCATCGCCATGCTGTAAGTACTCCTGGCTGTCCTTGGCTTCGGCCGGGGGTCCCGCTGGCTGAGTCCTTGTGCAGGAATTCTGGAGTGCCAGGGAAAAGCCAGAGGCTGCTCGGCTTGCTCCCAGTGCTCCCAGCATGGAGAAATTCCGTGTGTGGGAATGCGAGTGCGTCCGGACAGCGTCGGCTGGCAATTTGGGAATAAGGACAGCGGCAACTTGAGGAGGAAGGAAAGGAGAAGGGTTGGAAGTGAGGTGTGGAGGACAGAGAATTTTATAAAGTTGGTCTGGGAGCTGCTGGCTGGGTCTAATCCAGTGCTGTAGAAAAGGTGATTTAGCAAAACGGCAGAGAAATGAGTGAACAATTTAAATTTCTGGTTTTATGATGCTGTTGTATCTGTGTCTTATTCTGCAAAAGGGAGCAAATAGCACTGGTGGTGGTGGTCCCTCTGTCATGGTTACGGGTTTGCTGATCTGCGGCCAGGAGAGATCTGGATGGTGACAGGGAGGGTGTGTATTTCCAGGAGTGCCATCCGTCGGTGGGGCAGCAGCAGAGAGATTTCTGTTTAGTCGATAAAAAGGCTTTTCGAGTGGATTTCAGGGCACGATGCCTGTGCTTCTGTAGGTGTAGGTGGCAGGGAAATGAAAGAATGGAGATAAGTGGCGTGAAAGGGAATAACTGAGCAAAATGAGATGAAGAGAGGACAAAGCTGCCTTTGAGATGCTGGGGATAACCAGCCAGGTGAGGGTGGAAGCCACGTCTTAGGGAGAAGGAAATTGGCCGAATGCTGTATTCAGTGTATAGCGACCAGCTTTGTGCTGGAAAGCAGAAGGAACGCCTTGATGAGATCAGATTCTGATCTGCCTAATCTGTTTGCACGGTACTTTGGGCATGTAAAGTGTTCTGTAAGTGCAGCTTATGATTAAAAAGGCTGTTTAATTCTCTTTTATCTCGGATGTTAGCATCATGAATACTTTTGTAATGCTATTATGTTAAGCAGCTGACCCAAAGGAATGTTTTATTTTCCTGTAAAATAAATTCTGTGCAAGCCAGGACGAATGTTAAATCAACCAAGCAGACCTTGGGTGAGCTGGACATGGAAACGTGGCATCAAAGTGGACATTTTGCAGATGGAAAAAAAAGAAATCTATTTAGGAACAGAATTTAAACGTTACCCGGTCAATAAGCATTTCGGGCTTCTGCCATGCAAAAATGCGCGCTAGGTCGGTGGGAAAACTCCACAGCCGTCTAGAGCCTCTCAAAAGCAACTGGATCTCTACAAGACGTGGCACTTGAGATTGTCTGGCCGGTTCTGATGAGATAAAATAATAAATAGAATTAATCCTGTATTGCAGAGCGATGCCTGCGTGAGAGCCCTTCTCCTCTATCAGCTGCAGATGCTATTCGACAAGATTTTGGGTTTCCCGGACAATTTTCTGACCTCGCTTGCTCTGCAGGTGCCAGGCTGGAATCAGTTCATCCGTAAAACACTCACATCGTGACCTGTAAAGGGGAAAAGGCTCCTGCATCGCTCTGTGCGGTTTGTCCGCTGAACAAAACCGCTCCTTCGGGCGCGTGAAGGTTTGGTGATGTTCCACACAACGGCACTGCGCCCCCGCCTTGTAGCCAGGACGATTTTATTTATAATAATAGAATATTAGGACAATTTACAACTCCGTACCAAACAAATCAAAGCAAAAAGCCGCCTCTCCTCGGGGCTGGCGGGGCAGGATGGGTGCTGCTGGGGAGCGGAGCCCATCGTCCCGTGACGGGCTTTCGGGGGGACGCCGGAGCGTGTCCTGGGGGCAGGGAAAAGGTGCCTCTGCCCCCGGCTCCGTAATGACACCTCCTTGCGCAGAGCGCTGTGTTCTGGAGGCGGAGGGGGAATAAAGCTGCTTTGTCTCTTGGAGACTGAAACTGATCTTGGACAGAACAGGGAGGGAAGCTTAAAATCTGCCTTTTTTTTTTTTTTTAAGTCAGCTGATAAAAACAGAATCTCAAATGTCAGACAAGCTTCAGACAGTGACTCTCTGTGTCGCCTCCGTGCAGCAAAGCTGGGTGTTGGCTATTGCAGAGTGGAGCAACCAGCCCTGGCTTTTCATTTCTCGTCGCAGTGGGTGTTTATTTCAGCTGCAGAGTGAATTTGTAACAGATAGAGGAGCTTAGTGCTTTTGATGATGGGGGAAAATGCATAATCCTTGGGGCAGCTAAAAACTAACAAACGAGGTTATTGATGAACTGCGGTTGAGTGGAATCTTGGGTTTTTTGGGCTCTGGTCGGTTGATTTCCAGCTGTGTAGTGAAAGCTGCAGGTACAAAAAAAAAACCCAGTTCTGAAGAATTGAAGAAAGAATTGCCCTTGACAGAAGTTTCTCAAGTGCTTCGGAGTTTTATTGCAAATTTTGAAATGTAAAAATGCCTGTAATCTGGTTTCCAGTTTCCCTGTTTGTTCCCATTTGCCAGCAGCAGGTCTGGAGGCACAGACAGTTGGAGTCGAGAAGCAGGGAGCAGCAATACCTTCTGTGACGATGCAGAATTCAAACTGCACATTTACATTCCAAAGAGTCTGAACAGCTTTGTGCTGAGAAGGATTTTTAACCTGTTGGCGCTAATGACGTGTCTCTCTTGTCCCACCCTCCTCCTCCTCCTTTTTTCTCAGGACTATTTTCCTCGTCTTGCTGTTTTCTCAGTACGCCAGGAATGTCAAATTTCCCTTGCCCATTTACAAGTCCAAGAAAGGATGGACAGCGTACAGGCTGCAGCTCTTCAAGATGTTCCCTGTGAGTAGTTCAACGTGTTCTGCAGTTTTGGCAAAAAAAAAAAAAACAAACCCTAATTTGTGTTTTGGGTTGTTTGGTTTTTTTTCCCCAGTTTTAATTTTTCTTAATAGTACAGTAGATCACAAAGGTGAGTTAAAAGCATAAATGGGCTTATGGGAAACCCAGCTAAACGGCTCCTTTGCCGTGGGAAATAGTCTGTTGTAGTCTTGCCAAATCCAGTTCTAGTGTCGGTCCCTGATGAAGAGTCCTGGGAGGGATGAAGATCACAGAGGAGAGGGAAAGGAGGCAGAGAAGGAGGTGTGTTTGTGCATGCAGTGAAAGCCTGGACTGAGCCTCCAGAAGAGGGGTGGTGAGATCGTTATCTTCTAGTTTTATGAAAGACTTCTTTTTATTTCTCTGGCAAAGCTGAGACCAATTCACTGGTTTGTTTAAATGCCCGTTTGGAGACTTTCCCATTTGCTAGGGGAGAGGCTTGCTCTAATTCTAGAGCTTCTGTAACAGCACCTTCATTAGGGGCTTGGGGGAGACACCTACCAGGTCTGTTACAGGATTTTCTGCTTGTTCAGGCTCAAAATATCCCTTAAGCTCACACTGGTATCTGGGTGTAACAGATACTCTGTGCAGGAGCTCTTTGCTGTTGGTGAGTATCACCAATGAGAGTTTATTTTGACCGTCTCTCTTTTTCTTCTCTTTTTCAGATCATTTTAGCTATTTTGGTGTCCTGGCTGCTTTGCTTCATCTTCACCGTGACGGACGTCTTTCCCCCCGACAGCTCCAAGTATGGCTTCTACGCTCGCACCGACGCGCGCCGAGGAGTGCTCTTGGTGGCTCCGTGGTTCAAGGTTCCCTATCCCTGTAAGTATGTCGGGGTCCAAGGGCTGCTGTTCTCATCATTCCCCTGCCAGTATCATTTCTGTCGTTTTCAGAAGCACTGCTGGTTTCTTCTCAGTGCTCTGTTCCGATGCACTTCAGGATGCATTGACATGAAGACACCATAGGTGGGATGATGGGGTTTTTTCTTGTTTTCTTCTTTGATACCTTAATCATAGAATCACAGAATCATGAAGGT